TGTGGAGGGTTTTGTCCTGTCACTGTAAGGTAATTATAAACTACATAAATGTGGGTTTTGTCCTGTCACTGTAAGGTAATTATAAACTACATAAATGTGGGTTTTGTCCTGTCACTGTAAGGTAATTATAAACTACATAAATATGGAGGGTTTTGTCCTGTCACTGTAAGGTAATTAAACTACATAAATATGGAGGGTTTTGTCCCGTCACTGTAAGGTAATTAGCAATAATGCTGCTACACTAAAAAGTTGACAACTTACCCTCAGTATCAGCTGTCTGGTTAGTGACTTGTTGCTATGTTTCATGATCATATTGGTGAATTTTCTGTAAGAAGGTATGGTACATTTCCTTTTATGAGAACAGTTACCATACGACCATGTTATAATTGCAGGTGAAGTATCACCAAATCCATATAATTTTCATCCATTTATTAAGAATTCAAAACATAGCAAGAAAGCTAACATACGTCACTTTGGAGTCGTAATGTGGAAAGATATTATCTTCATTTTTAGCTGCTCTAATTGGTAGGTAGTTTCTCTCATCTTCCTTAGGAAGGGGCTCTTCAAGGTCCTCTTTGGATACAATTGGATTCCTGTACATGGGATTGTACATGCTCCATCTCACATGGGTTATTCTGGAATTGTGAGAAAATTAGTAATTGCAACCACCCAACCACAAAGAACATGGCACACGGCTTTGCATCCCCACGCTAAACAAAATGGGTTAGATATGGTTTAGCTCTATAGATATGGTTTAGCTCTATAGATATGGTTTAGCTCTATAGATATGCTTTACCTATAGTAAGCTCTTAGTCTACTTCTATAGGCATTCGCTCCCACTACAAAGCTCTGCGAAATACAGTGGTGGGAAACGTAGTGAATCATTGCAGCAGGGACTTCTAACTGGTGCCTGCTCTAGATCGCAGGGTGCGAAATTAACGGGAGTCCGGAGTCAAATACTCCCTGATTTACTGTTGGACTCCCTGATTTGACATATATGCAGGAGTCCGTGTGACTTCCTGAAAATTCTGCCATACTAACTAGTTCGTTCCGGAGCACGGCCTCGCAGAATTACTGTATTTTTTCAGCTAATGTCCAAAGAAAATTTGGCAGACGTGCAACTGCATGAATCTCAAAAATAAGCACAAGCGTTATTGTTAATATCTTTAATTTTGAACCTCAGACTGCGGACTCTCTTTCCCTCCGTTGGACTCCCTTGTTCAAAGGTTAATTTCTACCCCTGAGATCGTTGCTGCCATTTAAATTAATTGTGACCACTATTTAGGTTTTTGCTCGTTCACATTCAGAAAACGACCTAATCAGGCCAGATAAAGAGGAGTTGAGTTTGTTTAATGTCATTGGGATGCTAAATTCAATAAGTTTATTTCACAGGCTAGTGTATTTTTCTAAATTGTATCACGAGCAACAGATCAGCCTGCCATGATGGAGATTCACTGCCAGTTATCACCGTTGTTGTTCTCTTAGACCTCTGTACTGTAGTAGCTGTACAGTTTCTAGTACAGTCTGTGGGCTGCATGATTGTACTATCACTCTGTATTGGGCCGAGTAGGCTGTATGGGAGCAATGCCAATACAAAAGCGGCTCAAGGATAGAGAGCATGTCCAGTAATAAACATCATCCTATCCTATCACCTTCCTGGATAGCTCTAGTAACGCTCATAGGGTCTATGTCCCCCAGGGTACTGCCGGAACGTACCCTGGTAACTATCTAGCTGATATGGTTAGGGTTAGGGTTAGGGTTAGGGAGTAGGGCGTAGGCAAGTCCATAGACTCCTGTTAGTGGGAGGTAGCCAAGGTACGGTCCGCGGATATTATGTGAGTGGTATTAGTACCAGGGTACGTTCCAGATATACCGGACCGTCACCCAGGGTACGTGCCGCAGTACGCCTGCGGGAGAATAGACATATCAGCCTCTAGTAACTAATAGCCCGCGCTACAGTTGGCGCTGGGCTATAGGACCAGCATTAGACCAAGTGACATTGGGCCGTATTGCAACGATAGTTTAGAGGTTAATTTTGAGTAGCTGATATTAACTTAGACATATTGTACTTCGGATAGAAGGCCAATAATTGCCTTACCAGTAGCTCCTAGAAAAAGTGGATCGCAACGAACGGCAAAATTGATCGGCTTTTACAGTTATTTATTTACATGGACATCTTCACAATCTTTTTGAACACCTTTCACACGTTTAACATGTATTGGTTTATTCCAATTAATTCCTCAAGTAAGCACTACTGGCAAATCGTTTGAAAGTGATGTGGCATGGCGCACGCGATGACGTCGACCGGGTATTGTTATATACATGCACCATAGGCTGCCAGGTGTGTTCATATGCGTAATATTCGCGGTAACATCACGGCCGGGCGTGCTGGCACGCACACATCATTTCAAAATGAGTTGCCAAGTAGTGCTTAGCTTTGAAGGATAAATGGATAAAATGGCATGGTTGTAAAGTTGTGGAAGTGTTCTCAAAAAACGATAGGGAGATGTCCATAGATAGAGTAAATAAGGTTGTTAAAAAGCTGATCATTTTTGGCAATTTGCGATTCCATTTTTCGCTGGGAGCGTTGTGGTACGAGCGTTGCAGTTTGGCGAAATCTAGCAATAAATGTTCTATGGTGTAGCAAGCGCCTAGATATCCATTTCCGCGAACGCATTTATAGCCAAGCTCACACGTCCAGGCTGATGTTTACGATGTAGACCAAGCAGCAGAACTCAGCACAACATCAATGCTTACACCACACAGATGGGCAAGCGGAGACGGATTTAAATCAGGGAACACACAACAAACTGGTGTAAAATTAGCTTCACACGCAATAAGATACACACGTAAGGATAGGAGGCAGGCCGTCGGTACAAGCCACACAGTGTTGGCGCCATCACGCCGTATAGTACCGCGGCGCCCTAGCCAGCTTTTCTATTGGGGGGGATTCGTTTTTATTCAAATGGTAGGCATTGCTCGGCCGACGGGGGTGTACCAGTGATATTGTTACTAGGGGGGTTCTAACCCGATAACCCATAGATTGCGGAGCCGCGAAAGGGGGTCTGGGGGCCCTCGCCCAGGAAAATTTATAAAATTGACACCCCCTAGGATGCCGTTTTCTGCGGCGAGCAGAGGGGGGGTCCGGATCCCGTGGACCCCTGTACCAGCGGGGCATGCGTTTTTTGGGCGCGCGAAGCGACAGGCAGAGGGAGCAAGGCCGGCGCGATGCCGAGCGGGGGTTTCCGCAGGGCTGTCTGCGCCGCGCGGCCCGGCCCGGGGTGTTCACTGTTCACCCTCCCGCACGATGGAGATTTCTTGAATTTTAACACTGTATATGGAGCGACCTGAGGGAAATTTTTGCCAAATTTCAACGTGTTTTATATTGTTGGCGCGGGAGGGGCTCGGGGGGATTCGTTGAACCCCCCGAACCCCCCCTGGCTACGGCGCTCGGTACGGTATCAACTATTGCAAAGAATAACAGGCTTAGACACCACCTTAGCCGCATCACAACATTAGTTTGGCGGTTAGGCTGTCGGCGAATGAACACACAGTACACATTAGCACAACGTTGTTTTAAACAGCTACTAAACAGCTGTTCTACACTGACCACACACACATTAGCGTCATCACTGTCTATAGTGCGGGTTAGCTGGCAACACATAATATCTTAGATACACACATAAGGGGGCCCGACACTGCCCGGAGTGCGGTCAGATGTCGGCCAGTAAAATAACACACATTAGCCTAAAGTTATTTCTACACAGCTGTTAAATATTTAATTACGGTAAACGATCAACCAGCATACGTCATACGTCATACGTCATGCCACCTATGAAGCACCCACGTGCCTGAGGGGGAAGGAGGGCGTAAACCCATCTCCACTCAATACTCGCCATTGGCCATCTACTCTATCCCACTCCACAAACTGACCACAGACAATAATTCCACCCCTCTACTATCCCTGTAGTCAGCAGTGATAGGGCGAAACATATTTGGTAAGAGTTTCACGGCTGAGTTTACGAAGGGAGGTATAAGAGAGCTCGCACGGAAGAAACGAGGCTCTCTTGCACTCACCCCTCTGTTGTGTTAAGTGATTATATGTGTATTGTGAAACCCGTATTCTACCCTGTGTTACTTGTGTGAATTTTGTAAGTATTCAATAGTGAAACGGCAGTTTGAAATCCACATCCTTTCTACTCTTATTTTATTATTGTATTCGTAATTAGTCAAGCAATTACACGGCGCGCAGCACGCAAGCTACCGCGCACAGTTGTCTGGCAACAGAATTAACCAGCGACTACACTATAGACATGCGGCAGTTACGGTACGCGGGCTATAGTACTAGAGCTATAGTTACTACTAGGACGTGGATATTCGTCCGAGCATCGGACACCTGTTTGTATGCGCTATTCGTCCGAGCATCGGACACCTGTTTGTATGCGCTATTCGTCCGAGCAGTTGTTGCGCATGCGCTGTTCATGTTGCATTACATAAATGTAATATAATGCTAGTCTAGGGAGTCACCTACTCTCTAACCATAACCCCAACCCTAAGACAAACTATAAACCAACTTGGCTCTCTTATATACGCGAGTCATAGTACCAAACACCATCTATGGTGTATAACCACATATGCATGTGTGCAGGGGCGTCACAGCCTAAAGGGGCCCCCAAACTTTCAAAATAGCCTCAGAATACTGGAAATAGCATTTTATAGCATCTAGATTTCAACATTTTTTGGGGGAAGACCTCCCCCCTTCACACTTAATTCCTACCTATGGCACTCGTGCCGTGCGCCTGCGGCATGCAACATGTACAGCGCATGCGCAACAACTGCTCAGACGAATAGCGCATACAAACAGGTGACCGATGCTCGAACGAATATCCATCTCGATACCACTACTAGTACTAGTAGTGAGTATAGGTCTAGTACTATAGTCCGCGTACATTGACTGCCGCAGGGCTATAGCACATTGTCGGCTGGAAATACCAACTGCAACTTGTCACCACCTGTCCCCACGGAAAATGGATCGCAAAACGCAAAATTATCGGGCTTTTTAACACTTATCTATCTACGTGGACATCTCACCTATCTTTCTGAACACTTTACACAACTTTACACCATGTATTTATCCTTTTATTCCACAAAGTAAGCACTACTGGAAATTCCCGTTTGAAATTCTGGCGTGCGTACGCGTGGCGTCACCGGTATTGTATATACATGCCATGTGTTTTGCCTACAGATCCGGTGCATGTATATTATACAATACCGGTGACGTCACGCGTACGCACGCCAGAATATCAAACGGGAATTTCCAGTAGTGCTTACTTTGTGGAATAAAAGGATAAATACATGGTGTAAAGTTGTGTAAACAGTAAAGTGTTCAAAAAGATAGGTGAGATGTCCACGTAGATAGATAAGTGTTAAAAAGCCCGATAATTTTGCGTTTTGCGATCCATTTTTCGTGGGGACAGGTGGTGACAGGTTGCAGTTGGTATTTCCAGCCGACAATGTGCTATAGCCCTGCGGCAATCAATGTACGCGGGCTATAGTACTAGAGCTATAGTGAGTAGTACTACTACTAGAGCTACGTCCTGGGGCCGGATTCATCAACGTTGCGTAAAGTGTATTG